TGTAATTAGACAAATTAAGATAGGGTAGTACTGAAGTAGGGTGGACCCTTCATCCAAGACGGCTGGCGTTCTTGTAAGAAGAAGAAATTTTGGAAACAGAGATACAGAGAAGACAGTCATGTGATGACAAAAGCTAGAGATTAGAGTGACGTATCAACAGAACAAGAAATTCCAAAGATTACTGGGAAACACTGGGAACTAACAAGAGGCAAAGAAGGCTTCTCCCCTAGAGATGTCAGAGACAGCGGGATCCTTTAACTGCTTTGGTTTTGGACTTCCAGCCTCCAGAACTGCAAAGAATAAACTTCTCTTGTTTTAAACCAGAGAACTTCCGGTACTTTGTTTTCACAGCCCCAGGGAAAAAAAACGCTGAATACCAAAAGCAACTGTGTTTCTTTCACTGCTAACACTTTCTTTATGGACTATCTCCCAAATTAGGAGTTAATCTCTTTTTGGGCTAGAAGCCAGCAAAATATAGCCTGCGGGCCAAATCTGGCCCCCTGCCTGTTTTTGTAAGTAAAATTTTATTGGAATACAGCTACGTTCATTCATTTATGAATTGCTGTGGATGCTTTTATATTGTAACACCCTAGTTGAGTAGTTGCAACAATTGTATGGCCCACAAGGCTGAAAATATTTATCATCTGGCCTTTATAGGAAAAGTTTGCCAACCTCTGCTCTAAACCAAACTATACTTTGGTACTTTTAATCACTATATAAGATAGAAATATTAAGGCACAAAAAGATAGAAACCACTGACAGAATTTCACAGAATATTTTATTCGTTATTGTCACAATTTCCCCCCAAAAGCTGAGATTTACTTCTTCCTGAAGGTACAAAATGTAAGAGGTCTAAGCAGTCCTGAGGCTCTGAGCTGGCTTGTTTCTGTTGAGAACAGACGGGCGGGGTCATCCCACAGTTGAAGGCTGAACCCTGAAGGGAACTACCAGACCAGAGTAATCTGACAACCAGAGGGGGTGTCTTGTGCCTCTGGTACATTGTTGGGCTGAGGGGATGGGTATTGTGTTTTAATGACCAGATGTACCATACCTTCCCTGGAGTTTAATCGCATTAGTTCTTGCTGGGAAAAATACTTGCCCAGGCAATATTACAGATTTTAAACAATAGCAACAGCAGCAACAACCAAAACAAAAGCATTTTTCTAAATTGAGACAGGGAAATAAGGAGAGGCAAGTCTCCTGAGCAAAGACATGGTATGTGAAAATGTGACTGGTACTTCCTTATCAAAAACCACACAAATATGTTCTCCTTTTTGTATGTTTTTGAGCATCTTGTGTTATCTTTCTAGAATAGCTGCACAGCAGATGGGACCAGCCAGCATCAGTAATTCTGCCTAAACTGGAGAGAGTAAAACTGCTCAGTGGATGAGTGCTGCCGTCTACCTAATAGTCATTCTACTCTTCTTGTTTCATAGCAAAATTCCGATTTTATTCTGGACTGCAATACACACATCTAAAAGTGTAGACTTCCCAGGCTCCTTTACAGCTAGTTTGGCTACATGACTGTGTTCTGGCCAAGGAGATTTAAGAAGCTGATGGAAAAATGTCTTAACGAGAAGACAAGATACCTGATAAACACTCCTTCTAGCTTTTCCTGCCTTACTCCTAATTCTTTCTTTAAATGCTGTATTTCAACAGCCATCTTGGACCATGAGGTACCTTTTAGGGAGGGGAGTGAATCATACTTTAAGATTGACCAACTAGATATATAGAAGAAATCTGAGTCCTCAGGGCATCCTGGAGCTGCCATATTGTATTTCACATTATTTGAAAAAAAAAAGTAAGTCCTTATCTCTTGTTTAAACCACTGCTACTTGTGATTTCTATCATATGTGCCCCCCCACTATATTCCTGATAAAAAGATTTAAAAAAGTATTACGAAGTATAAATAAGCACTCGTAAAATAAATGGCAATGAAGATGGGGTATGGTATGGGAAAGTAATGGGAGACAGTGGAAATAGATACTATTACTCTAACATAATTTTTTAACGTAAAAAATAGAAGTTTAAGGTGATCTCTAGGAGAATCAAAATAAAAGGTGTGAATTTTACACATTTTTAAACTCTTATTGTATGTGTCTACATAATAATTAATGTTATTTTGAACATATATATAAAAAGAGTTGGATAAAACATAAAACATATGGCCCAAATATCCGAATCATATATTGATTTAATTTTCCTTACCATTTATACCTTTAGTCTATATATCACTATATTATAAGCACATTCACATAGCAGAAAATAATGTAATTTTGACATATAAAAATATAAATTTTTTCGAAATGACGAGGTGTCAGCCATGTGAGAAGATGCATTAGTGGTTTTAAGCTTCCTATTGCCATTTGGTTCACAAAGCAGTCGATTAATTATCAAATATAATGTTCTAGTTGGATTGTTCTTAAATTGATTGATAGGTCAAAGTAAGACAAATATGAGCATTTAGAACATTACAGAAAAATCAGATGTAATATTTTACGTTTGGGCTCAGCGACTTATCCCTGATGGGTGATATTCTCATTCTGTTGTTATGCTTTGACTAATTAGCTGAGAAAATTTTAAAAGAATATGTTTCCTCACATACTATTTGCTTACCACATGGTGTACTTCGTATAAGAAAGGCAAGATAAATACTTGATACTTTGCTTTATTTTCTCAGTTTTTAAGAGAATGAATTGGTTCCTTGCCATCTTCAGAAGGTAATCAGTTATTTCGCTAAAATCTCTTAGTTTAAATACGCTTAGTAACTTGAAACCCATTACACTTTCATACTCACATGAAACCTCAAATTGGTCTCTCTTGGCCACTGGGGCCTCTTCAAACTGACTTGACGTAATGTCTCTTTGATAGGCCTCTAGTAGTTTTCAACAGCTGCTTTGCCATCTGGGATAGATCTTTCACACTCATATTCACATTTCCTGTTACAGACCCGGGTCAGCCAATTATCCAAAATCCCCTGATATTCCGTAATATTCAATTAGAAATGATATTTCAAGAAATCAGAGCGGGCACATCAATTTTTTTTAATATAACTGATTTATTGTAGAGTTTCAACCTGCTGGTTTAAACCATGAAATGCTATTATTTTCCCTAATAATTGTTACTATTTTTCCCAAAATGTTGTTATAAAAATTTTCAAACATACAAAAAATTGAAAAAATTATTTACAGTGAACACCTGTAAACCCATCACCTAGATTCTACTATCAGTATTTTACTACTATAGTTTCATTGTATATACATCCATCTAACAAAACCTCAAAATCAATAGCCCTCTCCATTTATTTATTTTTAACAGCTTTGTTGACATATAATTTACAGAAGATAAAATTCCTGGGCTCTAAGTGTAGTATGATAGATTTCAGTAAATTTGTACAATTGTGCAACCATCATTACAATCTGGTTTTATGATACTTCCACCGCCCCAGAAAGTTTTCTGATTCTTGCATAAATTCTAAAAAAAATAAATATGTCTTGAACAAACAGCATCTAGAACAATAATTCTTTTCTAAGCATTATCATCTAGTCAGTTGCTTCCAATCCGTAGTGGGCTGAGGATCTGTGTAATAAATTATGTTATAGTTATGTCTAATGATAGAGATGTTCAGATTCTCAGTGACTACAGTACACAAAATTCAGTGCGGATATTGACATCCAATTAATAGTCTTAAAGAAAGAAATGTTTCTTTTGTTCCTTTTTTGTTTCTCAGGTGTATTCTTAGCAAAGTGACTGGAAAAGAAATTTCTTGTAAAGTGAGATGTTGCCATATTTGTTTCATGAATTTGAATCCTGCTGTTCTCCAAGCCACCAAATACTGTGTTGAACATACAATCAATTCTCAATAAATATTTGATAATGGAAAGGAAACATCCTCTCTCATAGTTGTAATTTTAGTTCTTTTAAATTGAAAGGAATATAAGAAATATGTTTTTTATCACTGCAGACACTCCATCAAGCCAGTAGGCCAAGCACAATGGCTATCAATAAAGAATCACTTGAGTGATAATATGGATATTTATCTTAGGTTATACACACATTTATGTATTATAGGATATCTGTTAACTTAAAAATGATACACACTTTTGGATATATTGCATCCACTGTACTCAATTTAATATAAATAATTTTTTGGAAAACAGTTGCTTTTGACATGTCAAAGGGCAGATGTGAAGATTTATTTGGACTATTGAGAATGTCTGCCATGCCCTTCAAGTTCCAGGAGTTCAAATAGGAAATGCACTTAGGCATGCGGCTCTGCTCATTAAGGCCACAGTGTTGGTTGTTGTTTGTGAGGTACCAATGAGTGGACAGATAAACCTGAACAAGAAACACTGAAGACACCGTTTGCAAAAGGCTCTTACTTTTTTAAATTGTGAAATGCAGAAAGTGATTACAAATACCAGAAAAAGAATATATGTAATTTGTCCCAGGTTATAGTACTGAATTTCTTTCACATGCCCACTTAAAAAGCATATAATTTTTGGATGTAGCCGAAAGTAAAGCCACATTTATTTTTCTTAAATATAAATTTCTCTTTAACTCTAGGTACTTATAACTAAAGCTTACTTTTAAGGCTAGTTTTATTGGATTTTTTAAAAAATGTTGTGCTGCTGAGAGAAAATCAAACTATTTTCCATGTAACATGACCTAAGAATATATTTTATCTGTGTCATAGATTTATGACAATAATTGATGGCAGCTTGACCTTCATGAGCAATAATACAAACGCATTTTCTTTTCTTTTCTTTCTTTTTTTTTTTTGAGGAAGATTAGCCCTGAGCTAACTACTGCCAGTCCTCCTCTTTTTTCCTGAGGAAGACTGGCCCTGAGCTACCATCTGTGCCCATCTTCCTCTACTTTATATGTGGGACGCCTACCACAGCATGGCGTGCCATGTGCTGCCATGTCTGTACCTGGGATTCGAACTGGCCAGGCTGCCAAGAAGTGGAACGTGCGCGGTTAACCGCTGCGCCACAGGGTCGGCCCCACAAACGCACTTTCTATTCTTTTCTCCTGGACTTTATTTGTGGTGAGACCTTGGCCTCACTAGCTCCTCATCTTTCCCATCAGGCACAGAAAGCAGCAAAGCTACCACAGCGCTGTCACCATGTCCTTGTGTGATTTCTTAGCTGTGATTCAGAACGGTGATTTAAAAGTAAAATAACTGGCTGGAAAAGGTAAATAGGTAGCAATTCTTCATCAAAACATTGCATTTTAACAAGGATGATGATATTTTGCAGAAAGTGTAGATTGTTAACTGAATTTTGATAATATATTTCTTTGTAATCATGATCTTTAAACTCTAATGCTGTTGAATTTGAGGTTACTATGAAGTTTATATCATCTGGGTTTGAAATAGTGTAAAATTTATGTAGGTTCATAAATTCTGTACACATTTTTTTTTCTGACCAACAGTCAGTTATCTTCCAAATTGGAAAAATAAATTACCTAATGATATTTACAGAAGAAAATTGTGAATAATATTAAAACGTTTTTCAGCAGGTTTTTAGCCAGGATGAGCACTTTAGTAACAGCTGTGTTGTGGCTGCATTGGGGAAAACACTGCAGTCAGTGACTATCGGTTAGTGTGTGTCTGTGACGGTGCAGGACTGTAACCAACAGGATTAAGCACTTGAAACGTTATATTTCCATTTGGGAAATACCTGCTCTTCAAAGGCATGTTATGAAGTAGGAATCCCAGAAGCAAGCAGATTCAGTTAATAAATTTTTAAATATGCATTTTCAGTGCACTTTACACTTTGTGTGTCCACAGGCCTGATAAATTATGTAAACAAAAATACTGCACCGCTTCTTAGGAAAAATTATTTTCCAAAACTAGAAATTTGAGGGTTTAATGACATGATTGTCAACTTTAGACAAGTAAATTATAATTTATTGAAAAATTACTATTAAAAATTTGAAGTAGCAGCATTTAAAACCTCCTGTGCTATCATAAATTTTGATTGTGTATTACAGCTGTCATCTTTCCCTTCACATGTGGAAATTTATCGAGTGTCTGTTGTGTGAAAGGAATTGTTCTCAGTCCTGGGGAACAGGACCTGATCTTTTATGTGAAAATTTCTTTGGCTTTATCATTTCACATAGATTTCTTTTTCTAATAGACACCTCAGATTTTTTCATGATAATTTTCTCTGTTTCTATTATTCCATAGACTTGGTTCTGACTTCTAGTTGCTTCTCAAAAAGATTTAGATTCTTGTTTTATAATGATACTCTTCAGATTCGTGAGCCATGTCCAATATCTATGTTTTGGATATGGCTTATATTCCCTCATGTTTTCATCTTTAATTTTATTGTCTTACCTTTTAAAAAAGTTCTTAGGTAATCTTGCATAAAATATAAATTTTATTTTTCTCCATTATGCATATTATGAAATATGAATAATTAACTCAAATGTTTCTTCTTTCAAGAATATTCTGAAACTTTATATCTCAAAACAATTTTCTAAAGTTTTTAATAGCCTAGCTGTACAAGTGTATGTTTTTCTATGAAAGGATTGAAGTCATTGGTTAATAAATTCCATTGATCAAAAGTAAAATTAATGAAATATTTCTGAACTATTTTTTACAAGTAAAAGCATGCATTGATATTTTGCATTTATTTATTTTTTGTACAGGAAAAACTTAAAATGCAGTAAGCAAAATGTTAAATCAAATTTAGAAATTGCTGACACAGGTATCTCTTTCAATCAATGAATGGCAGATTACCAAAGGGCATTAAATGGCATGTTGCATTGGATTATTTTTGTGTGTAATTATTAAATTTGTAGCTAACCTTTGGGTTGAAACATTAGCATTTTGTCTATATACCTCTTACTTTGAAGTGTGAATAGTGTAGATCAGGGCAATTAACTGTGATGTGTAGCATTTATTGTGTTTTGTTTTGTTCAGTGTGTACCAGAACAACATTTAATACTTCTCTTCCCTCTTCTAAGAGCACCATTGATGGATGTCTAATTATATTAGTTAGATGTAAATTAGATATGCATTTTTATTGTCTTATTTTATTGAGGATGAGGGCACGGGGCAGAGAGTGGGGCAGAGTTACATGGTCATGAGCTAGACAATTGTACATAGAGTATTTCCATCTATAATTGTTTCCTTACATAGTCCCAAACCCCATTTATTTAAACAGTACCCACTATCTATTACTGAATAAATTCCAATGTGAAAATTAGGAAAGATTGAATTCCGTATCTCTGTCACAACCTGGGCCACTGGTTCACTCAACCCCTGGGATCCTGTGAGTCCCCAGGGCCTTCCCTCTCCTCTGCTCCCTCTCTCTCACTAAAGTTTTAATAAAAACTTTGGGAGTCCCTTCTAATAGCCATGAAGGAACCTAGCCACACGTGTTGCAGCCCTCAGGCAATCTTTGCCAACAGGGCCATGCAGCAGGCCTGCTACCAGAGTTCTTGGAGCCGGTTTTCCCTCAGGAGTTCATGGAGTTAACAACTCTTATCCCCTCATTCAAATTTTGACCAGGATTCAGGACCTAAATTAGAGATTGTAACATCAGCAATTGCCATATTCTATCGACACTTCTTGCTTTTCTCTTGAGGTTGCATTTTTTTTTTCCTCCTTTGGACACACCATGCAATCCACACATTTGAAGGCTGACAGACATTGCAGCCTACTGCCCTTCTTGCTGTTCCTCAGACAAGCTGCCTTAGGGAATTAATAAAATTACAAATATCGCTTCAAAATGTAGTTTATTTTACATAAAATATACAAAATGAATTGAAGATAATGAGAATTATGGGACAACTAGGGGTTCCCATTAAAGAGCAGCTTCTCCCATCTTGCCACCAAAGAAACTTCACTTTCCTGAAGTTTCTGAGCAGTGGCAGCTTGGGGACAGAAACACCTCTGAAAGTTTCTTGTCTAGTTTTCATCATCTTGTTAGCAGCATTTTTCTAATAGTGGCTCCACTCAGATTAGCCAGTAGCTGTTAGATTAGATTAGACACACACTATAGACACTGTTACATGAGCCAAACTCGCTCCCGCTTCATGGCCTTTGTTCTCGCTGTTTTCCTCTGCCTGCCTTCTTTCTATGCCAAGATATTTATAAAGGCTGGCTTCTCATCTTCCAGCTCTTAGTTCAATGCGCAGTCCCTCCACTGGGCCTTCCCTATGCATCCTAGAGTACCCTCCATCCCTTCTCAGTCTCTGTTCCAAAACTCTATTTTCTTTTTAAAAATTTAGCACTTTTTACAACCTGAATTATCTTATTTATGTTTATGTTCATTGCCAGTTTATCACCACCAGAATGGAAACTTCTTTAGGGCAGAAAGTGTGTCTGCCTTGTCAGATTCTCTGCTAAATTTTTAGATGTTCAATAAATAGTTCTTGAATCACTGAAATAAAATTGCAATGAAACTATGGAGTTACCAAAATGCATATTCTGTTGAAAATAAACATCACAATTAAAACTATTTTGGGTCCATTTTATGTATGTCTACAGCACATTTTCCATTATTGCAGTACTGTTCATATTGAATTTAGTTGTTTCCAGATTTGTCATGCTCCTCAGAATGATATGGCTTTGCCTCAAGTGTGGCACCCTGTCACAGTCCTAGAAACAAAGAGGAGCTCAGTCTGTTGAATTATTGAGTGGGTAGATGAATGCATTTAGTATTTATGAATAAGTGCTGCAATTTAGTTATTGATTTTTTAAATAACTGTGTCATATTTGCAAAAATAATCATTAAAAGTCCTGGATTGAATACAGAAGATCTACAAGTAAATTTTTAAAGTGTCTCAAAACCTTGTTACTTAATACCTAGTGCCAGATTTATGTCTGTGTGTCTTCAATTTCTGTGAAAGGATTCATAAAATGAATGAAAATACTAGGGATTGGTTAATAATTCCACAGCCAAATTAATCGCTGACCTCCTATCATCTAGTTAAGGAAGTGATCCAGGATCTTCAGGAGCCTTATCGACTCCAGATTCCCTCCACCAACGCATCATTCTTGCATGCAAATATGCTGCATCTTCATCAGGTCTAACTTTTTTCTTCTTGTCTCTTTACATTTACTTTCTTTACACTCTTTCGGATAATTCTGTAGGTAGAAAATTATTTTTTCTTAATTTTGAAGTTTAACAGTATACGTCTCCAGTTTTCTTTGTTAGGAATAGAACTGTAAATAAGCTATCTTTTCTCCACAAAGGTCTTCACGTAAGTGCTTTTTGAGCTGTTAGATGAAAGATTATCTTTTTCTTAAATGGCAAATGCAGTGCTAAGGACACTGGAGGTAGGAACATGTCATTTCTAAAAGGTTTTTGAACATACACTTCCAAGATTAGGATGTTTCCTCATCAAATTCACCTTCAGACATGTGAGAAAGCAGAAGCTGAGAGTAAACTGCAGGAGGATTTCTACTGGTGAATCATGCTGCCGCCACCAGGCTGAGCTCTTCCAGAATGCTCTGTATGCAATAGCATCACACTGGAGAACCTGGAAGCTGCAGAAGAACAGATTGGCTGGGTAAAAAATGGTAGTTTTAAACAGATAATAAGTGGCTGTTAAAAGAAATCAATTTTCATGAATGAGCTAAAAGAGGCGACTATGGAAACAAATAATTATAATGGCAACTCTAATCAGCTGCTTCCAGCAGGTCATTAAAATAATTATGTTACCATATTATGACTGCCAGAGAAAGTCAAAGGCTGCAGATGGAAATGAACTTTACTGACTTTTGAAAGATGTCTGGATGTCGTGTGACTTTTGAAAGAATTTCTTTCTTCCTTTCTTTCCTTTCTTCCTTTCCTTTTCTTTCTTTCTTTCACTTTTTTTAAAAAAATTGGGAGCAAAACGAGGCTGTGGAGAAGCAAGAAATCCAAACCAGGGAAATGAGTCAAAGCTATTTTACTGGGCTTGAAGTAACACCTCAGATTAGATGTAGTTACACTGTGAAATCCTGAATAACACATTATAACTAATGGGTAGTTATTATTGATTATTTCTGAATTTTTCTGTGATAATGAAATTCAATAAATATACCTTTTTATGTTCCCAGTAGTGCAATCTCTAATTTCATTGTGCTCAGAGGTGAATCTTCTCTAATTGTAGTGTTTCACGGGACTGTGACAGGAGCTTTTTCATGACAGAAAATGTGTAGGTGACATTTCATGTTTGTCTGGCTTAATAATTATTT